GGGGGTGCGCCTGGGGCACTTGGGGGGCTACAGGATGGGTCTGGGGGGGCTGTTGGGTGCAATTAAGGGAGGGTTTGGGGGGCTACAGGGTGCAGGAAGAAAATGGGTTGGGGAGCTGCAAGAAAGGTTGGGGGGGCACAGGGTGCTCTAGGGAGGCTGCAGTAAAGATTTGGGGTCTGCAATGGGGGCACGGTTTTGGGGGGGCTGCAGCAAGGCTCGGAGGGCGCAGTAAGGGTCGGGGGGCTGCACTAAGGATGGGTGGGATGCAGAAAGAGTCGGGGGGCTGCAGGAAGGGGTGGGGGGCTGCAAGAAGCATCGGGAGGATGCAGGAAGGATGAGGGGGGCTGCAAGAAGCGTCAGGAGGATGCAATAAGAGTCGGGGGGCTGCAGGAAGCCTCGGGGTGACGCAATAAAGCTCGGGGGGTGCGGCAGGAGCGGGGCGGCTCTCGGGGGTCGCCGGGCAGGCTCCGGGACCCCCCCGCTCCCCCCCGCCCCGCGCATGCGCCGCGCACTCACCGCGCCGGGGCTCCGCCGCGCCGGCCCCGCCCCCTTGCTCGCTGCCTATTGGCCGTCCCGCCAGAGCAGCTCGCTGCTCATTGGTTCATCCTGTTGCCACTCATACCGGGCGGGACTCGGCCTTAAAGGGGCCGCGTGGGACCGTGGCGCAGAGAGTGTGGCGCAGCGTTAATTATGCGGGGTTAATTAGGCGGTGCTGATTCCACGGGGGTCGTCGCGTGGTGCCCAGGCCTCTTGTTCATGGCACGGTGCCCATTGCACAGCGCCCTTTGCCCAGTGCCCGTTGCCCGGTGTTAATTAATTGCCCTATGCCTATTGCCCGGTGTTAATTAATTGTCCCGTCCTAATTGCCCCGGTGGTGTTCAGTCGTTTTCCTACATCGGACAGGACGGAGCAGCACCCTGGATTCCCCCCCCCCCAGCCTCTGGGCAGCGCCATCCAGCTGTTCCCAGCTGTGCGTGAGCCCGGATAAAACTCACACCCGCGGTGCCCTCCGCCAGCTGCCGAGCGCTGGACGGGACCGTGCCACGCTGCCAGCCCTCGGCTCTGCCCCTCACCCCACCCCGGGACACCGGAGCACCCCTCATCCCCGTGGGATGGGGGTGGTGACACTGGAGCAGTCTCGGTCCCGATGGGATGGAGGGGGATGAAGGGAAAGCACCCCTGACCCCGATGGGATGAAGGGAAAGCACCCCTGACCCCGATGGGATGGAGGGAGACCACCCCTGACCCCGATGGGATGGAGATGGATAAAGAGAGATCACCCCTGACCCTGATGGGATGGAAGGAATGAAGGGAGACCACCCCTGACCCGAATGTGATGAAGAGGGGGATGAAGGGAGACCACCCTGGGTCTGTGATGAAGGGAGACACCGAGGTGGGTGCTGGTGGTGCCAGCGGCCCTGCCATGCTCTGGACACTTTATTCCTCCTGCCCCGAGCACTCCCGGGAGCTCTCAGAGCAAAGCCCCGAGCAAAGGGCTCCCTGTCCCGGCTCCCCGCGGTGTCCCGGCCGTGGCCGTGACCGAGGCTCCCGGTGTCCTCCCGTCGCTCCGTGGCCTCAATTGCAGCCCCGCAGGACCCCCAGGGCCTCCCGCACGGCGGCGAAGATCATCCCGTCCAGCTGCCAAGGCGCAAAGAGGGGGCTCAGCACCGCTCACCCCACCCTGGCACTCCCCAAATTTCCCCCAGAACACGCACCTGGGCGCGGAGCTGGCGCGGGGTCCCGGCGGGCTCGGGGCCGAGGTGGCGGAGGCGGACGGCGCTCTCCGGGGACAGGAATTGCTGCTCCACGCTGATGGTGCCGCTGAGGCTCTGCACCTGCCCGCGCACATCAGCGTGCCTCAATTTCCCCAGGGGGCTTGGCACAGCCTCTCGGGGAGGGGTTCAGGGCCACCTACCTGGTGGGGAGCCCCGGCGGGGACCAGCACGGCGTCCCCCGGGAACTGGAGGAGGCTCCAGCCGCTCACCCCGCACTCGTCCCGCAGCCGCCGCCGCAGGCCGGGGTCCAGGTAGCGGCCGGGGGGCTCCGCCGCGGCCTCCCCGTCCTGCCCCGGCTCCTCGGATGCCTGTGGGGTGCCAGGGGTGAGCGGAGCCGGGGCCCGGAGCGGGGCCGGGGGTGGTGGCACCCACCTTCCGCAGGAAATCCCGGATCCGCCCGGCATCCTCGGCACGGAAGATGTGCCACAGGACCCCGGGCCGGCCGCTGTCCCTCAGCCGCTCCCGCAGCGCCGCGTCCAGCTCATCCGTGTCCCCTGGCAGGAGCACCTCTGCGGGCACAGAGGGGTCAGGGGGGTCCTGGGCAGGGGGTCGGGATGGGGGGACCCCCGCTCTGCCCCCCGTACCCCGCGCTGCCGGCGCTGCGTGGGTCAGGACGCTGATGGAATCGGCCGCTTCCACCGTCAGGTTTTTGGTCCCGATGTTCCGCTCCTGCGGACGCACTCCTGGAATTGGGGCGGGGGGTGAGTGTCGGGCATCAGCGTGGGCGGGGGGAGCCCGGGTGCCCCCCAAAGCTCCGGTACCGCACTCACCGTAGGCCACGCGGAGTCGCGGGCGCAGCCAGCGCTGGCCCCGCTGGCCCCGCTGGCCCCGCAGGTAGGTGGCCAGGTTGAGGCGGCCGCTGGCCCCGCAGTACTCGGGCAGGGGCAGGCTGGCCCGCAGGTTGGTGGTCCTGTGGCACAGAGGGGTGCGGTGACACTCAGGACCCCCCCTCAACCCCACTGAGCCCCGCTGGCCCAGCTGGCGTGAGGAGGAGACATCGGGGTGATGCCACCCTGTGCTGTCACCTACCGGCTCAGCTCCGTGTCCCCAAAGCCGCTCTCCAGCTGCAGCAGGTCCCCGCTGCTCTGCTCCTGCTCCGGGGACGCTGTGGGAGGGATCCCAATGTCCCACCAGGGACGGAGCCGGGGTGCACAGCCTGGCTCCTTCACCCCTAAATCACACTGGGGACCCCGCAGACTCCCCGTCCCCTCACCTGTGCTGGCGGCAAAGCCATCCCAAAACTCCCGGCTGCTCATGCGGACTCGGCTCCGCGGTGCCCGCAGGTTCACAGCCTCCACCTCCTCCTCTTCCTCCCCCGAGGGCTGGAAGGATTCGGGCGCCCAGAGCCGCCCCTCCAGCCTCTTCTGCAGCCCTGAAACCAGGACAGGCTGCCGGGGCAGCCGGGGTTCAGCGGGGTGGGGGAAGCTGGGAGGGCTCCCAGGGATGGGGGGGCTCACCTGGCCCTGCCGCCAGTGCTCCTGGAACACTTTGTAGGTGCTGGCGTGGCCGGGATCGTGCAGCCAGAGCAGCCCGCTGGGGGCCAGGACGCAGTGGGACGCGGGGGGGTCCGGGGAGCTGGGGGGGCTCAGCTCGGCCCCCGCCTGCCTCTCCTGGATCTTCTTCTCCACCACTCGGGCGATGATGCTGTCCAGGATGCTGGTCAGGCGATTGTCCTGGGGGAGGGGGGACGCAATTGGGGAGCCCCTCAGCCCACGCTGACCACCCCCGGCCTCAGCAGAGCGGGGTGGGCAGCAGGGGCCGGGGTGGCCCGGTGGCCGCGGGACTCACGCTGGGCAGGGCAGGTGCCACGGGGGCGAAGGCCATGCGCACCCCGTCCTGCCCCAGGCACAGCTTCACGGCGGTGGAGGCCAGGAGGTCGCAGAGGGTGGTGGTCTGCACGGCCCCCCCCCGCGCCGGGGGCTGCCCCGGGGACGGCGGCCCCACCTCGGGGCTCTCTGCTCGGGGGAGAACGCGGTCAGGGTTGCCCATGCCGTCCTCTGCGTGTCACCCCCAATACCCGGCACCCCAAAAGGGGACGGAGTGCAGCATCCCTGACCCCCCCGGAGCGGGGCCGTGCCCGCGGCGGGGGGGTCGCAGCCGGCCCTACCTTCCTTGATGGGCCGGGCGGGGTCGGCTGGGCCGTGGCTGCGGGGTGGCAGGGTGGGCACCGCGGCCCCCGGCGGCTCCTGAAACAGCACAGGTCAGGTGGGGATCCAGGCGGGAGCCACATCCCACGCCCCAGACGTGTCCTGTGCAGGACTCGGGGTGCATCTGCACCCCATTTTCGACAGCATCCACGGCCCCCCCGTACCTGCCTGCCCGGGGGCTCCGCCAGGCTCCCCTCCCCGCAGGGACAGTGGGACTCGATGCCAAACTTGACCCTGACCTCGTGCAGGAGCTTCCAGAGGCGCGTCAGGACTGGGGACAGATGGGGATAGGGCTGTCAACCCTCCAGCAGTGCCCAAAGGGGGGTTCTGGGGCTGGAGGACACACTCACCACAGGTGGGGACAAACTGCGTGGGGACCAGGGAAGACGCGTGGTGGTCCCGCCCGGGGGTGCACTCGGGTGGCATCACCGGACCCCCTGTGTCAGAGAGAGGCTGCGTTTGTCCCCTCTGAGGCCCCATGGCTGACACCCCCTTTTCCACCCCTCCCTGTCCCCGTACCAGGGCCACCGTCCTCCCTCCTGCTGCGGTGGCAGTCGGGGCACAGCTGGAAGCCACATCTGGCGCAGCTCCAGTGGGAGTTGAAGAAGCCACGCTGGCAGGCGTCACAGAGCCGGGGGGCTCCTTCCGCCCGCCTCCAGCCCGTCACCCCTGCGGGAAACACAGCCTCAGCCTCCGCGTGTCCCCGGTGTCCCCAGTGTCACCCCCAGCCTGGTCCCTGCTTACCCTCGGGCCCGCCAGGGGCTCCCGGCCACGTGTCCCTGTCCCTGCGCACGGCGTCGCAGAAAGGGTCCCCCAGGACCTGCAGCAGGTACTTGGCCAGGCAGAGACTGCTCCCCACGTTCCTGCTCCCCACGTTCCTGCTCCCCACGTTCCTGGCCCCCAGCTCTAGCTCCCCCTCGGCCTCCCCCAGGGTGCAGAGGCCGTCAACGCTCAGCTCCCCGTTGTCACCCAGGGCGAACCTGCGGGGAGAAGGGACAGAGTTGGGGGGGCGGGAGGGTGCTCCAAATGGGGTGAAAAATTGGAGTGGTGAGAGAGGATGCTGGAAAGCGGCAGGACAAGGAAAGGATGCTAAAAAGTGGGGTGAGAGGAAGGGATTCTCTGAAGTGGGGTGACAGGAGAGGGTGCTCCAAAATAGGGTGACAAGAGAGGGTGTTCTGAAGTGGGGGGACAGAGACTGGATGTCCCAAAGAGGGGTGACAGGAAGGGATGCTCCAAAGTGGGGTGAAGGGAGGAGTGACAGGAAGGAAATCCTCTGAAATGGGGTGACATTCCAAAGGGATATTCCAAAGAAGGGGATGCTCCATTGCCCCCTGACGTGTCCTGCTGGACTCCCCCACCCCGTGAGCTCACCCCGGGCTCACCTGCGGAAGTGCATCAGCCTGCAGGTGTTCTCGGGGGGCTCCTCCTCATCCTCCTCTCCCTCGGGGTCCCCCCCGGCGCGGGGGGCACAGGCACAGCAGCGGGGGATGCTCGGGGGCAGCACGGTGCAGGGCAGGCCCTGCAGGCACCACGGCTCTCCCGCACTCCTCGGCGGCTCTGGGAACACAGGAGGTGCTTGGGGACACTGCGGAGCCCCATCCACGCCAGCTGGGAGGGACTGGAAGTGTCCAAGGCCAGGTTGGACGGGGCTTGGAGCAATCTGGGATGGTGGAAGGTGTCCCTGTCCATGGCAACCATGGGACTGGATGGGTTTTTTTAAGGTCCCTTCCAACCCAAACCATTCCAGGGATTTCTGGGATCCTGTGACTGGCACGCTGTGGCGGGGGCTGGAAACTGGGCCAGAAAGTAGGGCTGGAAAGTAGGGCTGGAGCTCGGCAGAGGTCAGGGCTGGGATGCCAACACCTCCCCGAGGAGTCACTGACCCAGCCACAGCACTTCCAACCCCCGGGAATCCCACCCGTGGCTGCCACACTGCCCCAAAGGGACATTTCGATCCGTGCCCACCCTGGGAATCCCTGCCAGACCCCGTCAAGCCAGGAAAAAAACCCCAGCACAGCAGGTTCCGCAGCCCACACGTGTTCCCGGCTCGTGTTGTGGGCGCCGGGAACCGGGATGCAAAATTCCCTGGGGATCGGGTGCTGCCCCCGCCCTCTCCCCGGTCCCGCTGCGCATCCTGTGCATCCTCACCTCCGTCTCCCAGCTCCATCCTCCTCTCCTCGGTGTCCCCCGCTCTCTCCGTGCCATCACCCGGGCCCGCGGTGGCCTTGGTGCCCCTCTTGGCTGCCCCGGCGCCCTCGCCAGCAGCGCGGGGACCATCGGCGGTGCCGTGGGGGCGTTTGGCCGAGCGCTTGCCCTCCCCGGGGGGCTCGGGACCCCCATCCCGCCGGGAAGCTTTGGAGCGAGGCAGCGACTGCTCCGAGTGCCGCGTCAGCCACGTCTTCTTCAGCTTGGTGTGGTTGCTGGGGGGGCATGGAAAACGCCCCCCGGCCATGCCCAGGGTGGGCTCGAAGGGGTTGGGCACCCCGCAGCCCACCCCCGGGCACCCATCGCAGCCCGGGGTGGGGCACAGACAGCCCGGGGGAGGCTCCGGCTTGGCCAGAGCCGCTGGGTAGTGCCCGTCCGCCAGCAGAGGCGACGGGTTGGGCTCCCCGCATGCCGGGGGCGAGCCGGGCTGGGCGCTTTGGTAGCCCAGGCGCTCATCTTTGGGCTCCGAGGGCCGGCCCGGCGCCGCGTCCATGGAAAAATCGGCGCCGTGGGGCCGTGCGCCCACCCAGGGCCCTCCGCAGCCCCCCGAGCCGCGCTGCAGGAGGAGGACGGGGTGGCTGGCGCTGGGGGGAGGCGTGCGGGGATGGGGAGCGGGCACCGCCGAGCTGCCCCCCGCCCGGCCATCCCTCCACGGGGCTCCCGGCAGCTCCGGCAGCGCCGGCTCCCCCTCCCCGTCTCTGTCCTGCCCTGCTTGGCTCTTGCCCAGCAGCTGCGACGCCGCGTGGTTCTTGGTCGAGGAGTGGAACCCGGGCTCTTTCTTGCCGTAGAACTCCTGGAAAGGAGCAGAGGGGCCGGTGTAACCCCAAGTGTCGGTCCCCGTCCCTCTTCTGTCACCCACATCCCTTCCAGGGGGTGTTGAGGAGCATTCCGTTCCCCTGCCTCAGTTTCCCCACCCCCGTGCCAGGCTGGGCAGCCGCCCGGTGCTTCCCGGTGCTGGGTTTTGGGGTGCCCGTGTCCCCCCGCTGCCAGCGTGGGAAAGGAATGGGGAGCCTCAGCGGCACGGGGTGCGACGGGCGCGCCCAGGGCTGGCACCGCTGCCTCCCGCCGCCCCCGTGCCGAGGCTCTCTTCGCCGTGACTCAGCCCCGGGGGTGGCATCACCCGCAGGGACACCGCGGAGCGCAGCATCACCCCAGCGGAGCATTGTCCCAGCGCTCGGGGGGCTGGGACCCCCGTGCCGAGCTGTGGGGGGGAGCAGAGGGTCTGTGCCCCCTCTGGGGTGCTGCCAGGCCCTGCCCCGGCTGCGGGTGCATCGCCTTTCGCTGCTCCCAGCCGGGTTCGGGTGAGGCTGGAGCCGCTGTCACCTCCGGGGGGCACCGGGACCCCCGAGCATCCTCGCTCCGGAGCCTCTCCAAGGTTTCCTACCTTGTTCCCTGAGCTGGAGTAGTCGTCGAAGGGGGTCAGAGCCGCCTTGCACCTCGGCGGGACCCCCAGGTAGAGGGGCTGTCCCCAGGCGGGCGCGTAGGAGCCCAAACGCCAGTCCGGGCCGGGAAACCGCCCGTCCCCCATCGGCCCCGGCCCCTCGGTCCCCGGGCCGCCGAACGGGGGCTCAGCCGGGGGTCCGGTGGGCAGCAGCGAGGACAGCAGGAAGGGGCTGTGCTTGGCCTCCACGAGGAAGGGGCAGTGACGGAAAGCCGGGGGGTCTCCGGCCGTGTCCCCCGCCGCGGTGCGAGGCTTGCCGGCGGTGCCGGGGCGCGGAGTGTCCAGCCCCGGCACGGGCAGGGGGTAGCGGTGGTACGCGTGACTGTAAAGGGCCAGCGGGGCCAGCACGGCCTCGGCCCAGCGCGGCCCCGGGCGCTCCTTGCAGGGCTCCCCCCAGCCTGCCTTGGGCTGCCCGTTCCTGGGGGGCAGCAGCGGGGGGAGCTCGGCTCCGTCCTTGGGGCGGCACAGGGCGTCCCGCAGGCACGGCGGGGCCGGTGGGTAGGGGCAGCCCCGGACGGGTCCCAAACATCCCTCGGAGCTCCTCCAGGGACATCCTTTCTCCATGCCGTAGCTCAGCTTGCCGGGCTCCGGGTAGCCCGGGAGTCCCAGCTCGGCAGCGGCGCTTCGGGATAAAAGCATCCCGGTGCTCTCCATCCCCCGGGAGTCCTGCGCTGCCTCCGGGGCTCTTCTCCACCGTGCCGGGGTCTCCCCCATCCTCGCGTCGCTGGCCATGCTGCTCCGACTCTCATGTGGTGCTCAGCGCCGTCCCGAGCAGGCCGGATCCTACGGGCAGGGACAGGGACATCAGTGAGGAACCGCAGCCGCCCCTGCTCGGGCAGCGCTGCGGGGAAACTGAGGCACGGCGATGCTCGGGGGTATTGCTGGGGGGGCTGCCTTCAACCCCCCATCTCCATCCTGCCGTGTTTGGTGGGAGGTTCCCCGGCACGGCGAAGGGATCCACGGCTCCCCTGCCCCCGGCATCCGTGGGGACGCACGATCCTGGCGGACACGTGTCCGGGCCGTGTGTCCCCGTCCCTCGTGCGCCCATCCCGGCGGGGCTGGGGGCCGGGACGCACCTCGCGCCCACCATTCCCTCCGCACCCAGCCTGGCCCCGCGCCCGGCCGCTGGCACCCAGCGTGGGGAGGCCGTGCCCCGCGCAGGTATTTGCCTCCGGCCAGGGCTGGGCTGCGCTTCTCGGGAGGGCTTCCAGCGAGGGGGGAGCTCCCCGCTCGCAGGGGCCCCTCCTGGGAGAAATGCCTGGGGGGATTTGCAGGATTAACCCTCCTTCGGGACCCGGGCCACACGCAGACGGCGGGGTGCGGAGCCAGACCTTGCAGCGCCGGCGGTCTCATCCCTTCCCCGAGTCCCCCAACCCTCCCTGCCCGGCGGCTGGAGCAGCCGAGGGAGACAGACCCGAGGTCACCCAGTTCCCGGCCCTGCTGCGGGGTGGGACAGAACCGCCCCGAGGGCCGGGATGGGGACAGGAGGAGGGTGAGGACAGGAACGTGTGTCCCCAGAGCCGCCTGTTCCCGTCACATCCACAGAGCGGGCAAAGTCGCCGTTCCCACGCTGCTGGGGATCATCGCGGGCCACCCTGGGGCACAGGGACACCCTGGGGACACCCACCCAGGGCTCAGGACCCAGCCAGGCTCTCCCATCCAGCCTCATTTCAGGAAGTTCTCCCAGCACAGCTCCCCAGTGCCCCGAGGCTGCCTCGCCGCCTGCCATCCCCGCCGTGCCCCCCAGCAGCCCCAGGGTGACATTGTCCCCCGTCCTTCATCCCATCCGGAGCGCACGAAGCTGGTCCCGCTGCTCGGCGAGCGTCCCCACGGCCCCACAGCTACCTGGAGGGTCCATCAAGGACCCCGGTGCCGAGGACGAGCGGGAGTCTCCGCCGGTGACACCGGGTCCCGGAGAGGCAGAGCCGGGCGGGCGGGAGCGCCTAAACCCACAGGCTGAAGGGGTCCGGCTCCGGGATCTGGAGGAGGCAGAAAGCCGCCCGAGCGGCCCTGGGGATGTTCTTCTCCTCGTGCTGGAGCTGCAGTTTTTGATCCATTGGCTTGGGAAGCTCCGTGCTCCTCCTGCCTATCGTCCCACGAGCTGGGGGTCCCGGCGGGCTGGGATTTGGGGACAGGGGCACCCGGGGAGCAGCGGCAGCACCAGCGGGACCTTCCCCCGGCTCTAGGCAGCCTTGAGCATCCTGGGGCTCTGCCGGCGGGACGAGGCAGTGGCAGTGGCTCTGCTCCCCACGAGCGTGCAGCCTCCGCCGGCTCCGGCAGCGACTGGGCGGACGGGAGGGATGCTGGAGCTGCTGACGCCCGGGAACCGGGAATCGGCGCGGTGCCGGCGGTGCCGCCCAGCCCCGGGGGCACCGGCGGCGGTGCCAAGGCGGGCAGGTGTGCTCTGCCCCGTGCGGGTGAAGAAAGCGCCCTTTGTTCGCCAAGGCTGCCCCGTCACCAATGAAAGGCTCCAGCCGCCCGCTCCGGGCGAAACTGGAATGGGAGAAACAGCGGGATGGGCCAGAAGTCCCTGTCCTGGTGCTGGGGAGCGGGTGGGGGCAGGTCCAGCATGGAGCGTGTGGCCATCCTAAAGCATGGGAGTCCCCAGGACCCCAAAGCCTTTCAGCTGTGGCCGAAGGTTGCGGATCTGGTCTCGAGTCACAGTCCAGAGCAGAGTCCATCCCTCCTCCAGCTGCCTGGGATGAAGGCAGAGCTCCTCTACCTCCCTGCAGACCTCACAGCAGGCAGGTGGGAAGAGCAGGATGTGCTCCAAGGGGTGCAGAGGGGCCTTGTGGAGAGCGGGGATGCTGTGACAGCATCGCGATGGTGCTACCCTGGCCAGGGGTGAGGAGAGAGTGCCTGGGACCACTCGTCCCTGCCCTGCAGCCCACCAGAGTCAGATTCCAACTGTGCCCACCAGAGTCACACAGATCCCAGCTGTGCCCACCAGGATCAGAGATCCCAACTGTGCCCACCAGGATCACAGAGATCCCACCTGTGCCCACCAGGATCAGAGATCCTAGCTGTGCCCACCAGGATCACAGAGATCCCAGCTGTGCCCACCAGGATCATAGAGATCCCACCTGTGCCCACCAGGATCAGAGATCCCAGCTGTGCCCACCAGGATCAGACAGATCCCAGCTGTGCCCACCAGGATCAGACAGATCCCAGCTGTGCCCACCAGGATTAGACAGATCCCAGCTGCTCCCACCAGGATCACAGAGATCCCACCTGTTCCCACCAGGATCAGAGATCCCAGCTGTGCCCACCAGGATCAGAGATCCCAGCTGTGCCCACCAGGATCAGACAGATCCCAGCTGTGCCCACCAGGATCACACAGATCCCAGCTGTGCCCTCCAGCCCACCAGGCAAGATCTGGGACCTTGTGGGTGCCTCCGCACTGTCCCCAAGCCTCAGGACCCCCAGCACCAAGGACACCCTGACCCCAAACCCACCAGTACCCACTGCCCGCTCCTGCGGACAAGCCCTGGGGAGCAGGGAGCAGATCCAGGGGGGTCCCCCGGGTGGGCCCCCCATTGCTGGGCTCCCAGGGAGCTGCTGCCGATGCCAGCAGCGCCGTGCGGGTTTATGTAACCCGCGTGTGTCCCCGGGACGTGCCCGCCTTACATAAACCCCGTCCCCCGGCACGGCTCGGCAGCGGGGGCCGGGCGGGCTGGGGGCACGGGAGAAGGGCTGAGGGCAGGCCAGGGCCCGCGGGAGCGAAGAGCCGAGCACCGGCTGCCTCCGGCTCAGCGGCTTCCTTGCGCTCCGGTCCCGCTGGGAGCTGGCAGTGAGGGTTAACCCTTGCTGGGCACGGCTCGGGGCACCGCGTGTCACCGGCATCACTTGGCCGTGCCAGGGGGTGACAAAGGCCAGAGAGGGTCGAGCCACAGCGGGACCCTCCCCCGGAGCCCTGCTCGCCCACGAGGAGAGGGTTTGGAAGGTTTGGGGGGTTCGGGGGGCCGCGGCGCCCGGGCGCTGCTCACTGCACCCAGTGGGTGCCACGGAACAGGGAGGGGACCCAGACAGGGCTCGGGGCGAGGGAGAGCCCGCGCCTGCCTGCGATGAGAAGGTGCTGAAAGACGAACTCTTCCCGTTCCCTCCCTCTGTTCCTCAGGAATGATGGATCCGGAAGGGCTGGGACGGAGCTGGCAGCCGGCAGGGACCCCAGGGAAGGGTCTGCGGTGTCCTGGCGGTTCTGGGGGTGCCCGGGGATGTCACGAGGGAAGGGACAGGTGGGAAGAGGGATGGAATCACCACGCTGAAAGCCCCAAGGAGGGTCCGTGGCAGCCATCGCTGGGGTAAGGAGCAGGGGGATGATGGAGGGACAACAGGGAATTTCCCACCATGCACTGGGGCAGCATCCCTGGTCACTGTCCCCTCCCCACGCCAAGCTGCCCTCGGAGCCTGAGGCCCTGCTGAAGCCTTCCCAGGGCCAGTGCAGTCCCAGCGGGGCAGCCACGCTGTGGGACCCTCTGGTGGGGCTCAGCCGCTGCCCCCCCGTGCCAGGATCCGTGCCTGCTCCCACAGCCCTGACCCCTGCCCGGGGTCCCTCCACTCGCTGCCTGTCCCAGCACAACCCACAGAGGGTTCCCAGGGGTGAACCGGAGGAGTCCAGGCTGGGTTTGCGTTCCACCAGCTGGGAGATAATTCCCGGGGGGGTTCTGCCTCGCTGGCTTGGCACAGAGCTCCGAAATCCTTGTTTTTCCCTGAAATCAGAGGGCGAGCAGAGGCAACACCCAGGAGCCGAGCGCTGGCCAGAACGCCGCTGCTGGAGACTGGAAACAGCCGAATTAGAACCTCTGGCATCCCTGGCCCACTCCACGCCAGGGCAGGGGGGGACGCTGTGGGGACATGGGGGCGAGGGGCTCTGTCCCCACCGTGTCCCCTGGGATCGTGGGGCACGCGCGGGATGGGATTCCCAGGATGATCCAGCATTGGGGGAGGGGGCGGATGAGGGTCCGGGTATTCCAGAAGCTCCCAGCTGATGTCCCGGCAGGATCCTGCCAGCCCTGTCCCACAGCACCTGCCTGGACCAGGGCACCTCCAGCCCCTCCAGACCCACAAACCGCCTCTGCCTGGGGAAAAACCCAAAATCCAGCTTTTTCCTCATGCAAAATGGATCCCCGCTGCGGCTTGCCCGGAGCGCATACACGAACCTCAGCCCTTCCTCTTCCTCCTCCTCCTTCCTCCTCCTCCTCCCAGCCCCGGCACAGAGCCCGGCACGCACCTACCTGCCTCCACCGCGGCGCAGGTGAGGAAGCTGAGGAAGCTGAGGAAGCTGAGGAAGCTGAGGCAGAGGAAGCAGCCTCGATTCCCACCCCCCCGAGCCCAGCACCGGGCGCGATGGCAGCGAGAGCTTTTGTTAATCTGCACCCGGCGCTTAAATATATAATAAAAAAAAAATAAAAAAAAAAAAAAAAAA